ATTTAAAGGGGGGGGGGGGGGGGGGGGGCAGGGGTTGGCCGCCCCGCAACCTCCACGGGTGGGGTTCCTCTTGCATCAACCCAGAAGTACCACTTTATTGTCGAGTCGTATTGTTGTTTTTTTGTGTTGAGATTCTTCGACTCTTGTCCGTTCGTAGAACCTCAATTTTCTTGCTCCCACGCCCCAGAGCAGGCCGATTTCGCCCCCCGCAGGGCGGGATGTGCGCGGTCACTGGTCAACCGGCACCTTTCAAGACAACCAAAACAAGGGGTATGTACAACCCAATCCCCATCTTTTCGTCGACTAAAAAGGCTCGTGTGTGTTCCACCACTCAACCGGCACTTTTCCAAGGCAACAATTGGGCACCCTCTTGACGACCTTCATCTCCCCCCCCCAACTGTCGAAAACACCCTTCCCTCTCTCAGCCCGTGTCCGAAACTGAAGCCCGTAAGCAAGGCGTCGAAGGCGGGGTTCTTGCAGCTGGCGACGCAGCCGTACGGGGGGGGTCTGTGGCACACGTGGTTCGACCGGGACCTCGGGGTGGCGGGCAGGGCGATCGTCAAGCGCGGGGAGGGGAAGTACTCGCACGATTTGGTGAGTGAGTGAGGTTCTCAGGATTTTTTGGGGTTGATGTTGTTGTTGTTGTTGTTTTTGGTGGGGTGGTAGTGGTGCGATGGTGTCGATCGTGACCTAATATGGGAGAGAGAGCGCGCGGGGGGGGAGGGGTTGAGATAACGTTAGATAGAGAAAAGAGAAAGACGGAGAGAGTTAGAGAGATCAATGTGGACAGAGAGATAGAGTCAAGAGACAGGCAGGCAGAGAGAGAGAGACAGACAGACAGACAGACTTAGAGAACAGAGCGAGCGAGCGCGAGAGAGAGAGACTAGAGAGAGACACACAGAGAGACAGAAAGACAAGAGAAACATCAACCACGGCGCTGGACCCCGATGGTATCGTCCAATGGCCGATGCTGCCGCACACGAACAGCAACCTCGAGGACCGTGCCCGCCCGCCCTCCCACCACGCGCGCCAGGTCAAGATCAACCGCCCTGTCCTTCGGATCCCGACGCTGGCCATCCACCTCACCAAGGCCGACGAGCGCAAAAGCTTTAGCCCCAACCTTCAGAGCAACTTTTTCCCGGTGCTTGCCACAGAAGTGAAGGCGAAGCTCACCGCCGGTGGTGCCTCTTCGAAGGCTGCCGCGGGGGAAGGGGAGTCTCCGGGAAAAGAGGGGGGGGGGGACGAGCGACACCACGCCCTGCTGGTGGAGATGGTGGCGGAAGAGTTGGGGTGAGAAGAAGAGAGAGGGGCTCTCAAGTGTGCGTGCTTTACAGCAGCAGCAGTGGCCTCTGTGTTTCTTGGTGGTGTTTTTTTTTTTTTTTCTCCGGGGTGTTTGTGTGTGTGGGCACTGTGGCGGCTTAGCGCGTTGTTTGCCGATATGATCGCGGTTTATTTGGTCGGAGCTTTTTTGTGTGTCAGGTGTCGTCGTCGGAGAAAGCAACAAAAACGGGAAAAAAATGGGTACCGATAGTACTATCCCACGTCTTGAGGCTAGAGAGGACAGACGGACCCTGCCACCTTAGCTGTCAGGGGCTGGAGAGAGGTAACGGGCTGTCTCGTCTCGTGTCGGCGTGTCTCGACCAACACGGCCGCCGTTCTTTCTTTTGTTTTGGTCGTCCGACGGAGGCAGACCGGGGACGGACTAAGACAACGCTCACGATGATCATCATGAAGGTGCCTGGTGTGAACCCTCGTTCGGCTCTGTGCCCGCAGCAGCAGCAGCAGCAGCAGCAGCAGCAGCAGCAGAACCGTGACACCCCCTGCACTGCGTCGTTTTCCATCCCGCCGTGGCTGCTCTATCTTGTTTTTGACCCCACCTCTCACACACCATGCTAGACGCCCCCTCCTGGAGGACGCATGGTCGATGGTCTAACAACCATGAGCACGCCCACCCCGTGACTTTCGATTGGCTACCCTCGAGGACGCATGTTAACAACTAAGGCATGCAGAACATGAGTACGCGCCCCCCCCCCCCCCAACCCCCCCTTTGGCCCCCGGCCAATGGAGGGGCCCCCCCGAAAAAGTGAAAGAATTT